ACAGTGGTAACAAGAATGTAAGGGTGTATCTTTTTTACTATTTTGTCTTCTAAAGATTTGAGATGAGACGCTTAATTTTGAAGACACAGGGCAAAGTTTTTTCTGTAAAATATTACATCTTATTAGCAAAAATTACGTGTGAAGCTTATCAATCCACAAAAACTGCTCAATGCGATTACATCCAATATTCGATTTATCAGAACTTCAGAACTTTCACTAGAGTGGTGAAAACTAATAACTTCAGATGTTTTACAAATAATATACTATGAGGGACAAGAGATGAGTAATTATTGTTCTGAAGCCGCTCGATGTAATTTTAAAAGAAGTTCCCCTGATTGTTTTTATAGATTAAGAAGCTACATATATTTTGTTACAAAAATGTTATTTTCGAAAAATCTTGTTTACTCTGTGTATCCGGAACGAGACATTTTTTCAAAAATCGTGATGGGTCAAAGTACTCTTGGAGTAATTAAAATATTATTGTACTGTACTTTAAAAAACACAAAGCTAGGAATTTAGTTCCTTAAACAAAATATTGCTTAGAAATGAATAAAATTTGGATTGAAGTTAGGCTTGAACTTCAGAACCCGGTTCCATTGGATGGATTTTTGAGATTTTTGGTGGAATGCGTTTAAAATACTGTATGTTATAAGATTTAGTGGCGCAGAAAGTAATGTTCAGTTTCATCTCTAGTGGTTAAAATTTCCGTCTCTGCACTGGTGTAGTCTCTCGAATGAAATTTTTGTATATATGTCTTGACTCTTGACTACACGTATACAAAATATCAATTCAATATCAGTACATCTCTAAAATAATTTTGAAACCCTTGCTTATATGATGTCACCGTATTATTTTTGAATTCTAAATTTTTAATTTTTGGAAAAGTTCTATAGTCTGTGGTGAGGAAATTTGAATTTTCCATTTTTAACAGTTTTCTAGATTCAGAAGCTTTTTATATGATTTTTTTTACAAAAATGTTATTTTGGAAAAATCTTACTTGCTCTGTCTATTCGGAGACGAAGAAGTTTTTCTAAAATCGTCGTGGGCTACAATGGTGTAGGAATAATTAAAATCTTATGGTCCTGTACTTTTGCTTTATGTTTAAAAAACACGCGAGACACGAAATTCAGTTCTTTAAACAAAATATTAATCCTTTGCTCTGGATTGAATAGAATTTTGACTGAGAAGTGGATTGAAATTAGTTTTGAACTTCATAACCCGATTCTGTATATTAAAGTTTACTCGTTAATTTTGTGCTGTTTTGATTTTCAAGTTCATTTTTTATGTATATAGTTATTCAAGTTTATAATATAAATCTCGTTAAACCGAACAAAAAAGTTTATGTGAACGTATGCATTTCACGGCTTCGGTACTGAGATACAGGGTGTTTAAGTTGATTTCTTCTAATACTGATATTTTTAGTTTCTCTTGAATTATTTGTTTTTAAAATGAAACTCAGTTAATTGATGGCAGAAATTAAAGGACTTGATTTGCGTTGGTTGTATCCAACTGAATTACCCCAGGGGCGGCATTATCAAATTTTTACCGGATATTTCGAATGTTGACTAAACACGTTACTTGATTTTATTTGTGGGTATGTTCAAGAAAAATCAATAATGGCGCTCTCAAGCAAGGTATGCTCAGAATTTTAACACTGTACCCAATTTCAATAAATGTATATATCTTTATTTATTAGCGAGATATATTTTATATTTATTGGGATCTTACCTAAAATATTCAAACCAATTTTTCTTCCAAAGGAGACATCTGACAAAAATTTCTCAAGAGAGGTGACCCATGTGAAATTGAATACCTTGAATACCACTTTATAAATGCGATATATGTTTTCATCAGGTCAGTAACGTAAAAAATAATTCTCAATTTCTTCTGTAGTAGTCAAAATTTCCGCCACAGCACGGGTGTAGTCTCTCAAACGAAAAATTTTGTATCAATACTACAATACTATTTTTCGATCAACTATATGTTTTTATTCATTTTTTTAAATATTTAATAGTTAAAAAATATAATGGATAAAGCAAGGTAGCATCCAATTTTGATGGATAAAATTTTTAATTTAAGCTTTTAACAATGCAATGGAAAATTTTCCGGGTTCCGTTTTTTTTTTTACTTTTGTCTTACAGTGCTCCACTAAGTTCATGAAATTCTGCGGACAGATTTGCCGGTATCTTCTAGTAACTAGTAAATATACAATTTCCTCTGTAATCCCTTTCCTGTCTGTTGGTAAGGGGGTATTTTGGGACCCATGTTTAAATGAACTTTTCGTATTATTTTTCAATCAGCTTTACGTCATTATTCATATTTTTAAATTTTTATTAATTGCTGTAATGTAGAGACCATCCTATTTTGAAGGGTAAAGTTTTTAATTTAAGCTTTTAACAATGCAATGGAAAATTTTCCGGTTTCCGAAGTTTTTAATTTTTATGCCTTACTCCATTAAGTATGTTCATCGGATTCAGCGGACAGATTTGCCGGTATTTGATAGTAACTAGTAAAATATTATACAATTTCCTTAGTAATCTCTTACCTGTCTGTTGGTAAGGGGTCCATTTTTATAATGAACTCTTCGTATTATTATTCGATCAACTTTGTTTTTATTCATATTATTTTTAATTTTTATTAATTGTTCTAATGTTGGTTTAAAGTTCTTAACTTAAGCTTTTAACAATGCAATGGAAATTTTTCCGGGTTTGGAGGTCTTTCAGCGCTCCACTATTTTCATGGAATTCAGCCGACAGATTTTCGATATTGGATAGTAACTAGTAAAATATACAATTTCCTTTGTATTTTTAATAATATAATAATAATAATAATATTTATTTACTCAATGTACAAAGATAACAAACAATATGAGTAAATAAATATAAAATCAAAACAGGCCCAATAGAAGGCATCACCTGTACATGGACCAATAATTTAAGTTGAAACTGTAGAATGCAAATGACAAAAAAGGACAAAAATTAGCTACAGTAGATTATGTATTTAGTTGATGTTCGTATTTATGAGTTTATGAATTTCAGTCCTAGATATAGAATGTAGCCACTTTTTTAAATTTCTTTTGAAACAATTTCCGAAACGTAAATCTTTTAAGTCTTTAGGTATAATTTCATAAAATTTAGGCGCTAAATAGAGATATGATCGCTGCATTATAGATTTATGCGGTTGAGGAACTACTGTGCCACGAATTTTGTACCTGGTATAATGATTATGTTTAATTTTTTGGTCGGTGTTTACAAATTTATGGTAGTGAGTGATACTGTGTAAGAAATGAAGCTGTCTTATATCATACATTCGAACATCTGCATATAATTTTTCAGTGGGATAAAGTTTCGGTTTTTTAAATATCATTTTTAGAATACTTTTTTGAAAAACATCTAAATTATAGATATTTGAGGAACATGCAGCTCCCCATGCTAATATACCATATGTGAGATGAGGCTCAATCAGTGCATGGTATAATGTTTGAAGATATTTTTCTGTCAATATATTCCCAAGGTATTTAATTTTGTAGGATACAAATCTAACTTTCTTTAAAATATAATTGACATGGATGTCCCATCGTAAGTGAGGATCCAAGACCACTCCAAGGTATTTTATGTTGGGCACTCTATTAATTTGCATTTTTTGATCATTAATATTGAAGGAGAAATTTGTGTAATTTGGCAGATGTCTAGCATAAGATCCAAATGGTAAAAAATGTGTTTTAGAGTAGTTAATGCTTAATTTTCTACTGTTAAACCACCGAATAATTTTGATAAAATCATTTTCAATTACATTTTTCAGATCAGACCAGTCAGTGCCTTCATATAATATTGCAGTATCATCTGCAAAACTAGTTATTTTGCCAACACAATTAATTTGGAAAATATCATTTAAATATATATTGAATAACAGCGGACCTAAGACAGTTCCTTGTGGGACACCACACTTAATATACATTTCTTTACTAAATGATCCTGATATCTGCACAGATTGTGGGCGATTTGACAAATAACTTTCGATCAGTGAGTACGCGTTTCCTCTGAAACCAATTTTCTCAATGCTTCTAATAATAATTTGTGATTAACTGTGTCGAAAGCTTTCTTTAAATCAACAAAAATGCAGATTGAAGGGATTCTGTTAACAATATTTTGATATATTTGCTTTACAATTTTAGTTATTGCGTCCGATGTAGCCTTCCCTTCTGTAAATCCATATTGATTTTCACTTAAAATTTTGAACTTTGTGAGGTATCGAATCATTCTAGTAGATAAAACTTTTTCAAAAACCTTTGCTACACTGGATATTATTGATATTGGTCTATAGTTGTTAACATCTGTTTTTGTTCCTGATTTATGTATCGGTATTATATTACCTTTTTTTAAAATTGAGCGATATATGCCAGATTCAAAGCATTTGTTGATTAGGTAAGTGAGTGGTTCTGTTATGTCCTCGGCTATAATTTTCAAATGCTCGCTTTTAATACCATCGAACCCAGGACTTTTCCGATTTTTTAAGGACATAACAGTGGTGTATACTTCACATTGTTCGACTTTATCCAAAATAAATGAGTTCAAAGTTCTTTTTGGAGGCTGAGTATTTTGTACATTTGCTTGTATATCACTTGCTAAATTTTCGCCTATGTCAGTAAAGAATTGTACAAATTCATCGCATATCTGTTGAGTATTTTTTAATACTGTTCCCGATGTTGTATTTAACTCCCTTACCTGTTTGATGGCAAGGGGGTATTTTCGGACCATGCTCATCTGAACTGTTCGTATTATTTTCCAATCAACTTTATACATATTTTTTAGTAATTGTTCTAAAGTAGCGATCATCCAATGTTGATGGGTAAGCTTTTTAATTCAAGTATTAACAATTCAATCGAAAATTTTCCGGGTTCCGAGGGTTTTATATTTGTATGATCATGAGATTCAGCAGTCAGATTTTCCGGTATTTGATAATAACTAGTAAAATCTAAATTTCCCTCTGTAGTCCCTTACCTGTCCCTGTATCACGTTCTCAGTCAGATCGTTATCCCCATTGGTCCCTATGAGTTTGCAGTACATCTCTGGTCCTTGCAAGCCTTCCCCGCATGTGGCTGAGGCGGTGATACGTTTGCCTTCCGCCAAGTTGAAATAGGGTGGCGTAAGCGACTCCCCTTTAACTGGGACGATTAAAAGGGCCAGAAGGGCTGCCCCGAGGGCGGCCCTTAGAGCCGGTGCTGCGCGAACCATCGTCGTCGCGAGACTGAAGATGAGTCGCGCCGGCTTAACGCGGTGCAGCGTCGCGAACTGCCTCCGGCCCATGAATACAGGGCCGGATTTGCATTGATGAGCCTCGAAAGGCGAAACGACGTCGCCTATTATCGCTTTTGAATGAAGAAGTTTCCTATTTTTTGAAACATACTTAAAATGTTAGTATGGTCAATAGGAAACATACAGTAACAGTGTTTTTGGACTTCAAAAGATAAATTACGAAATTGCATCACTACGGATTTAAAGGATCTGTATTCAAAACTAATTAATTGGATCTACATTATCAAGATCAAAAAATATTTCTGTTGGAATACCACAAGGTAGCAAACTAGATCCACTACTGTTTATTTTATACATTAATGACATTTGTAATATTTTAGATTATTGTAACCTTCAGATATTTGCAGATGATACATTAATATATATATATATCAGATGAAAATATAGACACTGCTTTAAAAATGCTAAATTCTGACTTGGCAAAAATCGTAAATTGGTTAAATGTAAATAAACTAAAATTGAATACTTCTAAAACAAAATGTATGCTAATAGGGAATTACCTAAATGAAAATACTATCACAGTTAGGATAAATGGAGAAATAATCGAAAATGTTGAATCAATTAAATATTTAGGTATATATATTGATAGTAAACTAAAGTTTGATGATCACTATGAATACATTATTTCAAAAATTGCCAAAAAAACAAATTACTTTTACAGGGCTTCTCATAGTTTTGGTACCTATTCCAAGAAAATAGTGTATAATACAATTATTCTACCGCATTTACTATATTGTTCAACTATCTTATTCACTGCCAATGAAGCTGTATTCTCAAAATTACAAGTCTTGCAAAATAAAGCTATGAGAATAATATTGAATAAAAATAAGTACATCAAAATAAAATCTATGTTACAAGAATTGCAGTGGTTGAAAATAAAAAATTTCATATCATATTTGGTTCTTATTTTTATATTTAAAATAAAAAATCATCTTTTGCCAGAGCATTTAGAACACTACAAAGAATTGAATAATCATTACCACAATTATTATACAAGAGGAAATATAGATTTTCATTTACAAAATTGCAATAGTAATATAACTAGCAAATCAATATTTCAGAAAGGATTACTTGAATTTAATAAACTAAATAATGATATAAAGTCTACTTCTAATTTAAAGATATTTAAAAGAAAATTAAAGGAATATTTCATGGACAATGAAAATTCTTAGAGATGCAAATTTTTTTCTAAATATGTGTATATTATATAATTGTTTAGTTTTTTTAGAATGTAGCCATCATGCTAAATAAATCTTATACAAGAAAAAACAAGTAAACTGAAAACAATTTTTAATATCTTAAAAAATGACTAAAAATAAATATTAGTGTACTTATATGTGCGTATGTGCCTATTATGATGGATAAATAACCTAATTAGTGTAAGAATTTTTTTCTTTCCAACGAGATGGAAAGAAGGTGAAATATTGCCTGTTCATAAAGGAGGCGATAGACATCTTGTGGAAAATTATCGACCTATCACTAAACTTTGTATTTTCTCAAAAATTTTTGAAAAGCTGATTTATGATCCTATCTTAAACATTACAAAAAATATCATTACGGAACACCAGCATGGATTTTTCCCTAAAAGATCTATAGAGACGAATTTGATGAGTTTTATAGAATATGCCTCTCACGCAATAGATGAGAAACTGCAGGTGGATGTTATTTATACCGACTTCAGTAAGGCTTTCGACAAGATTGATCATTCTATCTAGATGGAGAGACTTGCTGAGGTGGGTGTAGATGGTCCATTATGGCAGTGGCTAGCATCGTATATAAGTAATCGTAAACAAGTGGTGACTATCAATGGGTATCGTTCGGAGACATTCTTAGTAACTTCAGGCGTACCACAAGGTAATCACTTAGGACCATTGTTATTTAACATATACATGAACAACCTTACTTCTGTTTTTCATTTCAGTAAATATTTGTTATATGCTGATGATCTAAAGATATTTACTATTGTTAGAAATGTAAATGACGGTGTAAAACTTCAAAGCGATTTGGAATCTTGCACTGAAAACAGTATCTTCCTGAATTTAAAAAAATGTCATTACATGAGGCTTACTAGAAACATAGCGAACACTATAGATTTCAGATATAAGATAGGGACGGCAGAACTGGAAAAGCTTCATGTAGTAAAAGACCTAGGGGTATACATTGATGAGAAACTCTCATTCATCACCCACGTAGAGCACATCGTAAATGATGCAAATAGAACACTAGGGTTCATAAACAGGACATGCAGAGAATTTACGAACCCAAAAACGCTTCTTTCATTGTACTACGCTTATATACACAACAAACTGATGTTTGCATCAGTAATATGGAATCCGTCTTACAATGTACATATACGTACAGTCAGGATAGAAAGAATTCAACACAAATTTTTGAAGATGTTAGCACAAAAAACTCACCAACCTGTTACATATCATCATTATACGCCAATTATGAAACAGTTCAATATGATTTCCTTAAAAGATAGAAGAACGATTTCTGACATTTGCTGTGTCCATAAATTGTTGAATGGCCTCACTGACTGTCCGGATCTTTTGGCAAACTTGAACTTTAACACTCCTGATAGAACGTTTAGAACCTATCATCTGTTTAGAATAAATCATAATAATTTCTGTAATATAGATTTATTTAACATTAGCTTGACCTCCCTGAAAAAGGCTTTAAAGTATGAGTATTACAGCTCTATGGCAGACTAAAATATAAATGTTTTATTTTTTTACATAACTCAAGTTATCACCTCCAATATAATTTCTGGTATAATTTCAATTTAATTTTGATTTCAGTTTTAATTAAACGTAAGTAAATGTTAAATTATGTATACTCCTTTTATTAAAAAAGTTAAATTAATAGTTAATTGCTTATAATTAGACATACTCACTCAGTTTATGTTGTTACAACAATATCGGAGGATAAAAAAATATTAATATTGAAGCATTCAATAATGTAATATATGTATATGTATACGATATTTTATGTAAGTTTAGTTTTAGTTCACTGAGGGTGTGTGTTGGGTTTACCTGTTAACACCCCAAACTGTATATAAATAAATAAATAAATAAAGAATCTGAATAAATTTGATTATTGTTTTTATTTCGAAATTTGTGGATGGAGGGGGATACTCCTTGAAGAACCTCGCCAAAAGGCCAAAAATTGGGTAATTGAATAGTGTCTGGTCTTAAAATAATCAGTTGTATGGATTGCGGAGTCGAAGGTATGTATAGTTATTATGGTATGGCGAGTAAGGTATTTTTGGAAAATATCAAGATCAGGTCTTCAGTAACTTTCAGACAGGAATTCAACAGTGACATTTAATTTTACCTTGACCTTCACCTTTAACGTTGAATTACAGTCGACTTCATGTTTTCAAATAAAGACCCCAATTTTTTTTTCCAGCGATAGAAAGAACATAATATTTTACGTTCAAACACAATTAAAGTCCAAGGTCAGGAAAACTACTAAAGGTCAAATGAAGATCAAATGTGTGCTGCTAGAAAAAATAACTATCAAGGTCAGGTCTGTAGTAAATTTTACGAGTGATTTCGACTTTGACCATGAACTTCACCTTCAAGGCCATTTCAAGGTTATTTTTTCAAAGGAAGTTTGCCTAGCAGCACATATTTAGCCTTTATGTGACCTGTAGTGGTCACCTTCACCTTGAATTCTAACACACATTTGAGTATAAAATTACCGGCTCTCGGGATCGTTGGCATCAAATAGGCGTTTGGAAGAAGAGTTATCTTGAAATGACCTTGAAGGTGAGGTACAAGGTCAAATCCAAGACCACCGCTAGTTGTGAAAATTTACTAAAAACCTGACGATGTCTGCGAAATTACTAGGCGTTTTCCTAGCAGCACATATTTGACCTTTATTTAACCTATCTGACATCCAGCGGTCATCTTGATCTTGAGTTTCAATACATATTCGAATGTACAATTTTTCCGATTTTCCGATTACCGGCATTAGAAGTAGGGGTTTCCAGTTTTAAGTTGACTTTGGGTAAGTTCTAACGAGGGAACTACAGTGCTTGTTACAAATGATGTTTAACCGCATTTGGCCTTCAATTCGTATTTGAACGTAAAATTTTCCGCTCTTTCGATTGCCGGCATCAAAAATAGAATTTTTCATTAAAAACATAAAGTTGACTTTGAAATAAACCTGAAGGTGAAAGTCAAGGTCAAATCCAAGGTTACCGTTACCTTGATAGTTACTTTCATCACTTATCCTGTGAGATTTATAAAGAGTTTCTTAGTAGCACACATTTGGTCTTCATTTGACCTTTAGTAGTCAACCTGACCTTGGACTTAAATTGTGTTTGAACCTAAAATGTTCTGTTCTTCCGATTGCCGACATCAAAAATAGGGGTTTCTGTTGGAAAAAATAAAGTTGTCCAAGGATTAACCTTGAAGATGAACGTCAAGGTCGTATTCAAGGTTACCGTTGCTGAAAATTACTGAAAACCGGACCTTGGTCTCTTCCAAAAATACCTTACCCGAGAAAATACAGAGCCGTTCCGGGACTCCTTGAAAACATATAAAACTGTAATTTGAGCGCAATTAACATTTGTTTTTGCAAACAACCGCTACATTATAATCACATTTCAATTTTTGCACCATCGATTTGTTTCAAGTTTCATTATTGGTGACCCTGAAAACATCTAAAACTTTGATCTCAATTAAAACATTTTTTTGCAAAGATGTAAACCATATTAAGTCCGCCATTCGGATTTTTTTCTAAAGTTTAATGGATGTTTCTAGCGTTGGCCTTATCTTAGGACTTTTGAACCACTGTGGCGTCGATCGCGGGTAGGCTCAATTATAAATGTTAATGCGTTCCAAAGCATAAATGTTTCACATAGTATATTTAACCATCAACCATTATTAAGCCCACTTTTAGAAGATTAGTGGAAAACTATGGAAAATTTTTCCATATTTGTGGAAGATATCAGTGACACTATTATATGCAAG